TGGTGATTTAGTCTCGCTAGCTCATCATTGTACTTCATTGATTCAGGAAGGCAGCCTTTTCACAGTTGTTCTTTGTTACTCAATTATAAGCACCTGAAATTATCAATGTACAAATTTGTTGCAGTACAACAAAAACTAATTTTATCATTAATCTTCAGTGACACAAAGTTAATCATCATGTTGTTACAAAGTTGGGTTCTTTTGCGATAGTCAAAACGCGACAACTAGCGCTGGATGGCGACAACTAGCGCTGTCCAGCGCTAGTTGTCGCCATCCAGCGCTAGTTGTCGCTATCCAGCGCTAGATAACGCTGGCCAGCGCAAAATATATTTGTTCGATAATTGTCGCTATCCAGCGCTAGTTGTCGCCATCCAGCGCTAGTTGTCGCCATCCAGCGCTGGTTGTCGCTATCCAGCGCTAGTTGTCGCTGGCTATGCGACACTGTCGCACGCGATAGTTAGCGATGGCCAGCGCAACTGGCCATCGCAGAAAACAGTTCGATAACTAGCGCGCTGGCCAGCGCTGGCTAGCGCTGGATAGCGACAACTAGCGCTGGATGGCGACAACTAGCGCTGGCCAGCGCTTGTTGTCGCTATCCAGCGCTAGCCAGCGCTAGCCAGCGCTATCCAGCGCTAACCAGCGCAAAGTATCAATTTTTGATAAATTTTCGATAAATTTTCGATAATTTTCGCGACAAATAGCGCTGGATAGCGACAACTAGCGCTGGCCAGCGCTGGCCATCGATAGCCAGCGCAACATTTTTGCGATATTATTCGTCAGCTAGCGCTGGCCAGCGCTATCCAGCGCTAACCAGCGCTGGCCAGCGCTATCCAGCGCTAGCCAGCGCTGGCCAGCGCTAGCCAACGCTAGCCAGCGCTAGCCAGCGCTGGCCAGCGCAATGTATCAAAATCATATTTTGGCCAGGTAGCGTAGTTGGTTAATCATCGGATTTGTAATCGTGAGATTGCGAGTTCGAAACCCACTGCCTGCCTAGTCGTGGGGTGAGTGTCGTCGACATTCAGCTAAAGATCCTGAGTGGTCTATGCAACCCCCCGGTCTACTCAGCCGAATATTCGAGAAATCGTGTGTGAGGGTTAAATGAGAAGCTGTCCATTGCAGCGAAGTCTCGGGCGAAGAAAGTATGGTACACACTACCTTAACCGTCACTGGCCTAATTAAATCCTTCGGCTTCCTGTAATTGGCTAGTTACACTTGTGTAACAATGTGGCTGTTGGAATACTCCGAAGTAAAATAAGTGTGAGATAAAAAAAAATATACTTGCGATATTACTCGTCAGCTAGCGCTGGCCAGCGCAATGTATTAAAATCATATACTTGCGATATTACTCGTCAGCCAGCGCTGGCCAGCGCTAACCAGCGCTATCCAGCGCTAACCAGCGCTAGCCAGCGCTAGCCAGCGCTATCCAGCGCTATCCAGCGCTAGCCAGCGCTGGCCATCACTGGCCAGGGCAATGCATCAAAATCATATACTTGCAATATTACTCGTCAACCACAAACCAGCGCTAGGTAGTGCAAGTTATAAAAATCAAATATTTGCGATATTAATCGATGGCTAGCGCTGGTTAGTGCTGGCCAGTGCAATATACCAAAATCAAATATTAGCGATATCATTTATCGTCAGCTGACACTGACTGACCAGCGCAATATATTTGCGATATTTCTTGTCAGCTTAACGCGGGTGATACTCGTTAAATTGGAAATATTTTTTCAAATCCAAGTCCAACTCGGTGCGCATTTATATGTAAAGGAACGGTTATAAACGTACATTTACAATCGTCAGCTAGCGTTGGCTTACTAGCTGGGCGGCGCTCAGCCTGTCATTCCGCGGGATCTCTATTCTATGTTTATCTCTATTCTATGTTTATAAACATAGTAGCCTGGGGTCCCTAGGTAAAGCTCAATTTGTCATTTGGCCTCATTCCTATTTTCTGTGTTTATGAAGATGATAGCCTGCGGTCCCCAGTATGTGGCTCAGTATGCAATACACAGCTATATTAGCAGACTTTACTCAACGCGCTAAATTCTATTACATATATATTATGCGCGGCTCTCTTTTCGATCGTGAATCCTAGTAAGGTCAGGAAACCTTATTGGATGCACAAAATGATCATAGTGCAAATAAACGTCGGCTAACTGCTAACTAAGCAGCAGTTTCTTTGCACTATAGTTAACGGGTGATACTCGTAAAATATTTGTTCCAACTCGGCGCGCGTCCTGGAAGGTTTTAAACCTACAAGTACAACACTATTGTTCTCCTGTGTCGTGCGCGGCGGGTAAAATCATACAACGCGTCGCGTATGATTTGGGATATGTTTATGATTAATATGAACATAATATTTTGAGGTCCCCAGGTAAGCTAATTTGTAATTGATCCTAGCTAGCGCTAACAGTAACTGCGCGCCGACGAGTGATATCGCAAATATTTAAAACCGATACTTCGGGATGGGGATCGATCACATATTACGTAATCAGCTGAGGGGGATCGGAGGGGGTTTCTGGCCAGTGCTGGCTAGCGTTGGCTAGCGCTGGTTAGTGCTGACCAGCGCTGGCTGACGAGTAATATCGCAAGTTTATGATTTTGATACATTGCGCTGGCCAGCGCTAGCTGACGAGTAATATCGCAAGTATATGATTTTGATACATTGCGCTGGCTAGCGCTGGCTAGCGTTGGCTAGCGCTGGCCAGCGCTGGCTAGCGCTGGATAGCGCTGGCTAGCGCTGGTTAGCGCTGGATAGCGCTGGCTAGCGCTGGTTAGCGCTGGATAGCGCTGGCCAGCGCTGGCTGACGAGTAATATCGCAAGTTTATGATTTTGATACATTGCGCTGGCCAGCGCTAGCTGACGAGTAATATCGCAAGTATATGATTTAAGATTTTGATACATTGCGCTGGCCAGCGCTGGCCAGCGCTGGCTAGCGCTGGCTAGCGTTGGCTAGCGCTGGCCAGCGCTGGCTAGCGCTGGATAGCGCTGGTTAGCGCTGGATAGCGCTGGCCAGCGCTGGTTAGCGCTGGTTAGCGCTGGATAGCGCTGGATAGCGCTGGCCAGCGCTAGCTGACGAATAATATCGCAAAAATGTTGCGCTGGCTATCGATGGCCAGCGTTGGCCAGCGCTGGCTATCGCTTAGCGCTGGCCAGCGCTGGCCAGCGCTAGTTGTCGCTATCCAGCGCTATTTGTCGCGAAAATTATCGAAAATTAATCGAAAATTTATCAAAAATTGATACTTTGCGCTGGTTAGCGCTGGATAGCGCTGGCCAGCGCTGGCTAGCGCTGGCTAGCGCTGGATAGCGACAACAAGCGCTGGCCAGCGCTAGTTGTCGCCATCCAGCGCTAGTTGTCGCTATCCAGCGCTAGCCAGCAGTGTATGTACTAAGAGCATCTACTTGCGGGTGAACATTTTATGTCTCAAAACCCAACATATTATACATCATTGGAAAGGTCTCATTGAGTAGAGTCGTTTGGTACCAAGTTTTGGGCAAATGGCTGTTCCTAGCGAAAGTTATAGCCCGTCAAAGTTCCAAAAATGACCATTTAAAAAGTGGGGCGGGGCATCGTGTTCTTAAAGTTTTTGTCGAATTTTTTTTACAGCATATTGTTTATCACATTTTTTTACACAAGATTTGCTGTATGCCGTAATTTTTAATCCATTATTACAGTCACAATCAATTTATTTTGTCAACAGAGTTTGAAATATTTGAAGAGACAATTGATATTCCGCGTGGTTCGCGGCGCGCTTCTTTGTCTACAAATTGTTAAATTGCGCGTTACAATTCCGAGTAACGTAGCAGAAGACGTTTCCCTGAATTTTGTTGGGGATTTTTTAGGGGATTTGACACGGATTTCAAATCCCCTCAAAATAGTTTCGAATTGTCCCTGGGAGTGGCCTGAGTGGGTCAAGACGTCGAAAATTAGTTTCTCTGGTTGTTGGGGTCAGGTACTTCCTATCTAACCACCAAATCATGTTCCAAATACCCCGGAACATAAATCTCCTACAGGGGTAAAGATTCTCATTCTTGATTTGACCTGGATTTCAGTAATTTTGGGGTGGGCGAGGCCCCTGGGAGTGGCCTGAGTGAGTCAAGATGTCGAAACTCGGTCTTTCTGATGGTTTGGGACAGTTAATAACTATTAAACATCCTAAACATGTTCCAAATACCCCGGAACATAAAACCCATACAAGGGTAAAGATTCTCATTCTTGATTTGACCTGGATTTCAGTAATTTTGGGGTGGGCGTGGCCCCTGGGAGTGGCCTGAGTGGGTCAAGATGTCGAAACTCGGTTTTTCTAATTGTTAGGGACAAGTACTAATATAACCATTAAACCACCTGAAAATGTTCCAAATACCAGGGAACTCATACAAGTGTGAAATCCCCTACACAAATCAAGGAAACGTGCTCTCCCGAGCAGCGCACGAACAATGCCAGAGTGCATTCTCGGTTTTTGTGTCGAATGTGAATCATACCTTACAAGACATATTTATGTGGATCATAATTAGCGGGGATCGAAATTATGGGGGAACGAAAATATGGGGATTTTTTTCATAAATTCAGTAATTCAGTACGAAATTTCAGAAATTCAGTACGAAAATATGGGGATTTTTTCCAATTTTTTCCAAAAATCCCCGAATTTTGTACTTCATATAAATATGTCTCGACCTTTATTTTACTCTAAAGACATACTAGAAAATCCGTTGTCACAGGGAGGAAGCTAGAAATCAATTTTTATCGTATCATAAAATTTAAATCACAACCGAAGATACATGCTATTATTTCGTAGAACACTCTAAACTCAACAGTAAATGATCGAAATTTAGCTCCAAATTCTTAACACGTGCACGTGCAAGTCTCCGCCTGCTTTACTATGCACGGGAGTGGTTGTACACACAAACAGAAATCAAATACATTACATATTGTGTAGTTATTGACTACTGATAACACATTTATAAATATGGCGAAATATCAAATATTATCAAAAATTTAAAACTTGTAAATTTGTCAAATTCATTAATTAGTCTCAACTGATATATAAAATAAAGTAAAACATCGCAGCAATAAATATAAGATGAAGACATTGACAGCTCTAATAATAGATCAGAAAAAGAAAAACGGCGTTATTTAATAAAAATCGAATCGAATAACTTAAACTACAGGTGCTAGGGCCCTTGTAAACAATCGTAATATCCTGTGAATTAAATCGATTGATTCTAATTGGTGTTCATCACTGATTAGAGGCAACAAAAGGATAAGCTAGTCAGCAGTAAATAGCAATGCATCAGTCAGCGAACGCCATCGATCGTAATGTGTCTTGCTCCAAGCTTTTAACACCTGAAATTATATGTTTTGAATAACAATTACACTTAAACAAAATAACGGAACTCAAAAAGCTATTACGTTACAATATCTTAATAAAATTCTGGGTAACTAATTTAATTAAAACCATACCAACATTGAACCTACGTCTTACAATGAGCGCTATAATTTTTAGAACATAACAGCTGATAACCACCTATAACAAGCAGGAAGCACGTGATTAAAACCCACGATTGGTTTCTCTCCGCACAGAATTGGTTCCAATGTGTAGGTGGGCATATTTCAAAACTGGTTCCACTTGGAGGAAATTTCAGAAATGCTTTTACCAATCCGATTTTGGACATTTTAGAATGTTTGAACCTTTTACTTTGAAAATCTGCAATATTGGAGACATCAATCTACTCTATCATGCAAAAATAGCTCATTCTATCATCGACACTGAAACAATCCTCAAAAGTGTGCTCTACTTCATAACGTCTCTAGATTAGGCTGTTGCTTGAACTAAACCCAAATTTTGTGTGTTAGTATATGAGATTTCATTTTTACAGACTGATATAAAGCCCAATCAAGGAGAATGAGCTAACATGGGGAAAATGTGGTTTAAAAAATTTTGTCACTCCGTAACAAAAAAGTGTAAAAAAGTTATCTATTCTCTTAATTACACGCCTATTGCATTCCATATTTTCTGAAGTATCTCAGTGACCTAACACTAAGATTTTCCAACATTTTCGATTGATAACATTATAATTTAAGAAGAGATATGATGAGCCAAAGTTTGGTCACTCCGTAACGCTGTGTTACGGAGTGACAAATTCATCACATTCAGTAAATTGAAAAGTGGTCACATGCTCGCTTCAAATGGTATTGATCTGGTTTGTAATATTGATGCCAGATTGCATAATACCTAGCTTGTCAGCTGACATCACGGTCGGTATTTCAGTACATGACGTGATCTGATCCTACGTGCTTATCTGTTAGACGACACCAATCTTCATATTTGAGAATTTGATGTGATCCAAATAAGATCATCTGAACAAGCTCGTTAGCTGACATCACATAATACTATATAAGCTGGCTGAGAGGCCAACCATCCATCTCAGTTGTAACCATCAAATTTCGGAGAGCAGCAGATCTTATGATCAAGCATAGATCTACAATTTTAAGTTACAGATTAGCTCTGAAAGTATTTGGTAAGTCTCCCTCCATGGAGACATTGGTAGCTGTCCGCAGTTCTTTAAAAGAACTTTATGTTCTGAAGAACATTTGCGATGTGTAAATTTAAGTAGGAACTGTTTTGGATTTATGTGTTGATCATTTTACTGAAATTGCAATTCAAAAAGAATATCAATTGTACAAGATATAACAGTATAATCTTGTTTAAACTTCGTCACATTGCGGCTAAATGACTGGGAATATGGGATCGGATCACATTATCATGTATTTACCTAGGCGCTAGCTAGGTGCACTCTATGATACGACCGACCTTGTAATTATGTAATCACCAAATTACGCTCTACCTGGAGCATGTATGGTGTCTGGGGCTAATGAGATATGATCCCAAAAACAAGGAAAGATCACGTAACTTTGGATAAGTTACAGCATGACCTGATCACATCTTTACGCTGTTTCAAGTGTGCTATTAACTATAGTACACCATCTTAGTATATATCAAACTCACACATTGAAGTCTATAAACTATAGACTGGGCTATTAACTATAGCCTGTACTATTAACTATAGTACACCATCTTAGCTAAATCAGTTGCTAATTTCTGATTTACCTTACGACATGGCTTTGACGGGGAAAGATCTATCTAATTTTGAAAAGAATTCTACTATTTAGAGCCAGGAACAGGATGAAAAATGATGAAAAATTCGAGTGGAATGAGAGACTGTTTGATGCGTCACTCCGCAACAGTCACTCCGTAACAATCCCCAAAATTTTTGAAGCCTCAAATTTTTTATTCCTTAGGCAATACACACTTTCTCTTGATTAATTATTGAAGGAAAATGTCTGAAAAGTGCCTGGAAGCCGTCAAAATGCAAATTTCAAGAATATCTGAGATAAAAATTAGGTCAGAATATGGGTGTACCAAAATCTGAAAATTTATCTACTCACTCCGTAACGAAATTTCAACTTTTAATTACTCAAAAACGGATTGATTTCTCACTATTTTCTTTGGCAGATATGTAAATCGTAGGTTTGAAAAGCCTTAGAAACATAATTTAACCAATAATGAACCTGTTTTCTTGGACATTTTTCGGAAAAAATGGGTAAAATTGTCACACCGTAACATTCTATAGTTTTGAAATATGCCCAGGTTCAATGCTATACAGTACGCTCTTTGACCAATATCAGAAACAAAACATTATTTACCGCCCCTTCTGTCACCAAGGATCGACCGGGACTGCTTTTTTGGCCGGGACTGGAAAGGAGTGCCGGAACCAGGTATACGCCGGGACCGGGATTCAGCCAGATTTGGGACCGGGATCATAGCTTAGAAAACCAGCACTTAACACTTACACTAAAATATGGTATCCGCAACTGATAAAAAGCACAAGCACAGCTTACCCAACAAATTGGCACTTGACTCTGACAGTGTTTTGTTTATTAATTGGTAAATAATTTTGCTTTAAACTTCAGTTTTTCAAAAAATCCGGGATTAAACCGGGATCCCGGTCGAACCTTGTCTATCACTCCCTGTCATCTCTTAGCTCTCTGACACCTTATTGCTTAATACTAAGATCCTAGCTTAACAATACGTAACACACTCATATGGAGTCATTATTCTAGCTCGACGGTACTGTAAAACCACTAATTGGGAACCAATTCTATGAGAGAAATCATGTGATCCGACGGGGACTAAAAAGTGAAAACTTTGATTTACTACATTTCTTACATGTGCATCTCTTATTGCTATAATTCGACGACTTATCTGCTACTTTGTGTCCGGTGCTATACATTTAATACAATTGTGAGTACGTTATGGAAGATGTGTACTTAGACTCTCTAATGTAGTCAAGTAAACATTTCGACCAGCTTTCAGATGCTTCTAATGATCTTGGTATTTGGGTTGAGGTAATGAAGACAATAAACTTTGATGAAGATAGTGATATCACATTCGAGAAGTTCAAGAAACCAAACAAGGACGTTCTAGTAAAGCACCTTTTTGATGCATTTTAGGGTATTGTCTAATATCAGCGTATTCTCCACGAATAAAAAGATAGAGGAAATGAAAAGTGAAATCATCAGTGCTCAGAAATCAGCAAAAAATGCAGAGGAAACCCTTCCCCCAGCTCTGTCTCCACTTTCACGGCAGAAAACTTGAAGAAAGTAGTTTGGAATGTTGTAGCTGAAGAAGATCGCAGCAGATTGCAGAAATGTCTTCATTTTTAGTCTCAAGGAGGATACAGGAGAGAAACTTGGCGATCAAATTTGTGATGTGTTTGAACAATTTGCAGAAAAGCCACGCTTCGAAGCTGCTCAAATTGGGAATATGTCTGCTGAAAAACCCAGAGCTGTCAAAGTATCATTTTGAAACTCTAGCACCGTTCATCAGATACTGATCAAAGCTAAAGAACTCAGACTGTCTCAGTGTTTCAAAAGTAAATGACCAAATCAACTATTTGAAGGAGGAAAAGAATATAGAGCACTTATTTCTAAAATTCTAAAGGTATATTGTCACTAGTGAGATTGTATAGGGTTGTACACTCCCTCTTTTTCTCTATTGTCACCATAAATTGAGAACGTTTTGAGTTAGGAACTCCAAAATTTCCAGACACATTTGGACTTGTTTTGATAATTGAAGTGCTTTCCTATAACTTCAAGTTCGTTGTTTACAACTAAGCCGAGTTATGACCATTTTAAGATCTTGCACGGATACATGATCCTGGCACTTAATCTGTGATTTCTTCACTCAATCAATGGCACTCAATCAGTGATTTCGAATGATTTAGTTTCAAATTATTATTCAATTAAGTAACTTTTGGTGATCAATCCAGTGATCAAAACCAAATTGCCCAATCTTGCCTAAAAACGATGTTTAAATGTTGCATTGAAAATATCCACGTGCTAAAGTCACAATGATAAGAATTGGCTGTAAATAAACTGGTAAGTAGATGAGCATAAAGTGGAGTTCCCACCTACGAGTGGTAAACTGAGAGGTGGCGCGCCTGAGAGGTGGCGCAGTGTATGCAGAGTATGATAATGTCAGCCTTGCGGCGCAGCTGACATTAGCTTTCATTACGTTTGAATTATCGCGTCCGCGGTAAGGCTGACATTATCATACTCTGCATACACCGCGCCACCTCTCAGGCGCGCCACCTCTCAGCCAACACTCGTAAGTGGGAACTCCACTGTAATGAACTTAACAGGCATCAACCATCCTTAATGTTAACTATCAATAAACAAGTGTGTTTGTACAACGCAGTTTTAGGTATTTAATGGGTTTTCATCAGTAATGATTCTTGCTTGAAAATTACAGTCAGTTGGTGGTACTGTTAAATAGTTGTAAAATGGTAATGGTAAATATGACTGTCATTTCTCTCCACAATCGCTTGGTAAGAGGTTATCTTTTATTATAAAGGCTGAGCTAAAGCAGTCATAAGTATACTAAGATAAAAAAGGTCACATCAAGCTTGAACAAAGTACTTACATATTTCAGCCCATAGGATCGGTTGTTAATTATTATATCAGCATACAATAATGTTTGTCCGGAAAGCATCTCGTCCCAAAGGAAATTCTGGTTCAGCTAGAAATAATGATATTTGAAGTTCATATTTTAAATTCAAATATACTTTAATTAGAATAAACAATATACATCAAGTTAGGTCTGTTTCTACACCAGGAAAATAGATTAATTGAAAAAATTGCTTCAAAACCTTCAAATACCTGCATTTCAAGAAATAATAACGAAACAGGTCTTCGAGTTCGATATTACAGCTTAACTAAGATAATCAAACTAAGTGGGACACACCAGCATTACAAAGCAGCTGTTTTTTGGCAAATGTGATTATAGGCCATTATTGAAGGCAGATATCTAGAGCTTGGAATGCATTTCGGGCATCAAAGAATGTGCACCTGTGTACCAAGGAAATTGCACGATTTGATTGGAAGTACATATATTTTTTCTAACACAGAATACTGTCCGTTATTGTTTATACAAGGCTTGAATGGGTTAATTGTAATTTCGGTATGAAGCATGATTGAAATGATCTGATAAAAGTGTAAAACGTTCAAATCCTGTCCAGAACTAAACGAGTGTAACAAGGGATTTAATTTAGCAACATCCTGATCCACTAAGCTATTCTATACTAGAACAAGTTTCTAGTAGTCTCCAGCACATCGCAGCCAAAACGCAGTAACACTAACTCAGTTATATTAAATACCCTCTCAAGATCATTTAGTAACATCTGCATTACAATGTGCAACAAAACAACTACTATCAAACTAAATATACGGTGTGTGCATTGAGGCTCTCTGCTAATTGCTATGAGCGGCAACAAAAAGAAATTCGACCGAAAAGTATCAGCGCATATTTGATATGAGAATAAAAATGGCGCAACAAAACATTTGGTTAAATCTCCTTATTGCGATTTCTAACTGCGCGGCGTAGCGCGTACTTTGAAATCCAAATAAAAATTATTTTTGATTCAAATATCGGAAAATAAAATTACGGCATACAGCAAATCTTGTGTAAAAAAATGTGATTAACAATATTCTGTAAAAAAATTTCGTAAAAAAATTTAAGAACACGATGCCCCGCCCCATTTTTTAAATGGTCATTTTTGGAACTTTGACGGGCTATAACTTTCGTTAGGAACAGTCATTTGCCCAAAACTTGGTACCAAACGACTCTACTCAATGAGACCTTTCCAATGATGTATAATATGTTGGGTTTTGAGACATAAAATGTTCACCCGCAAGTTGATGCTCTTAGTACATACACTACAGCGCGCTAGTTATCAAACTGTTTTCTGCGATGGCCAGTTGCGCTGGCCATCGCAAACTATCGCGTGCGACAGTGTCGCATAGCCAGCGACAACTAGCGCTGGATAGCGACAACCAGCGCTGGATGGCGACAACTAGCGCTGGCTGGCGACAACTAGCGCTGGATAGCGACAATTATCGAACAAATATATTTTGCGCTGGCCAGCGTTATCCAGCGCTGGATAGCGACAACTAGCGCTGGATGGCGACAACTAGCGCTGGATAGCGCTAGTTGTCGCCATCCAGCGCTAGTTGTCGGCTGTCGCGTTTTGACTATCGCAAAAGAACCCAAAGTTGATTGATTATATAATACCAACATACTATTTCTACTGGTCTCCTCCCTGTTTCTAACGACCCAATTGTTATCCTGTAATCACTTTGCTTTTCCAGATGCACCATAATAAAGATTTGAAGTGGTCAGATTCTAATATAAGTAATGTTAGATCATGATCTGTTTTGAGAATACCCCCGTTGGTCAGTATTAGAATATTCATATTTTAGGGTGTCATTACCTGGCCTGCTTCTTTGTCTTACCTTGTGTGATACAAACTCAGAAAATCTGAAGATGTCTCCGTATTAATATTAAATTGTCAGTGACACAAGGCTTATTGCCAGTTTCACAATACGCACAACCATGTGATGATCAAATATTAATCACGCAATAGAATATTAGATGATTGGGATAAAAATCTTGTGTATTTTATTGTCAACTTACATTTTAGTTAAGCTTAGTCGTCGAGAATTAGGGCCGGATCCGCTTCAATATGATGAGGAATGCTCATAAGCTCCAGGAAATCTTCTCTGCCTTTATACTTATAGTATAGTGGACTTCAGAACCTGTGTTGAAGAATATTGTTGTGAATTTTGCTCCAACATGTGGAGAAGCGGCTGGTATCAGAAAAGCGCAGGAAAACTTTTAAAAATCGAGGAGTAACGTTAAAGTGCTATCAGTGGGCTCGGCTGAAAAAAGGGTCAAGATACTGCGCCAAAATAAATTCTTTTAATGATTTTCTTATTCGGTACAACTACTTTGTTGATTTACATTTAAGACCGTTTTTTACGCGATTTCATGCCCATAACTTTCTCGCGATCCAGGATTACAGACTTTTACATTCGCGCGGTCTTACAGGATATTGGTTCATTTGCAATGAACTCGGTGAACTGAATTTCGAAGAGAATCGAATTATGTTACACTAATAAAGTTTTGTTAATGTTAATCTTATGATTTACGTCAAAATAAATATTTCCGAAAGATGTCAAGAATTAAGTATTAGTAAGGAAACAAATTTTGCAGGTCGATAACTTACTTTTTGGATTTTGGTCAGTGGTCACTGCAAGACTCTATAAATTGCAAATCAGTTATAGTGGTCTGGTGCTACTCTCCAGTCGAATAGTTAGTAGATTTCTTCATGACTATATGTCTATTATTTATCCTGAAAAGTAGATCAGTTAAAGCACCGATCTTCAGCTATTTTCTGTTGACACTTGAAAATATACCAAAGTGCCAAGCAAATAAATTGGGGTATGTCGTAAATTAAATTTAAATTTAAGTTTTAAATTAAAAATATTATATATGCCATATGGTAACAATGTAATGAATAAATACGATATAGATACTTAAATATTTGAAAGTTTAACTTAAGCCCTCCTAGCTCAAAATAGTAGTAGATCAGGATATACGTCTATTCATGTTTGTGTAAGCAGATTAGTATTCATAAATTAATGTTGATAATCTAAGAACATACCAAACCATGAGCTCAGTTGAGTTCCGTCTGATGAAGTCTGGCTCACTGTCCGTCTTAATAAAGTACGATCTGACTACAACGATGTAATCAACCTATAATTCGACATATTATTGGGTTATGTGACAGGGAGACATTTCAGATTTTAAGCGAAAATAACCAAAAGTAGGATATTTGGTTGACTAAAATAACAATAATATAAGTATCAAGTACATCAATTATTAGCCTAAAATGGGTTCCAAACCTTAGAGGTAGTTTAAAGCAGGTATAACTGTGGAAATAAAAACTTGAAATTAAACAAAAGAAATCGATAGAAATTGACAAGGTTTATCGATCAGCATAGATGTAATTTTAGTTTAACCATACTGAAATACCAATATTGATCAGTTTATAAGAACTCACCAAGGTAAGAGTTAGCTGAGTTCCTTCAGTTAAGTGTGGTTCTTTGTCCGTTTTTATAACTTTATACTTTTATAGATAACAGTGAGCTTTAAACTGAAATAAAAATACAAAGTGTAATGCAAAAATAGTGCTGCACTAAACAATAAAACGTTTCACGGCTAAAATATGCAAATATTTTTACGGAAACTTTAATAATATAGCTTCATTATCCAAATATAAACTATAAAATTAAACTGTGAGCAAACCTGGTTGGAAGCTGATTGAGATCCATAAGGTATCGCCATCTGTTTATCTTTTAGTCTTGATACAATCGTCATTTTTATACTTCACCTGAAATATAACAAAAACAGTTGATTGATATCAATTTCACTCTAGAAATAAGCTATTAACTTATAAAATACTGATTATTTTCCATATTTTATGTAAAATTTATTTTGATATGTTACATTTATTTCGAGCTATTAGATGAAAAAATGAAACTTGTAAATGAAGTTATCCCTTATTTTTGTCAATTATGGCAATCAGAAATTGGGTTCTCGCGATGAGGTGCAGCCATCACTTTACTTACTGTTACTTTCGATGACCCTCGATAGAAATCCTCTCTAAACCCCCGCAAAAACTTAACGGTCGAGTATATTTGTTCGCTGAGCTTAAAACTGGCGTCTCATAATGCAATGTTGACTGCTAAAATTTGTGTAGCTGATCTTAAATTTCAGTGTTCATCCTACTGGCTTTATATGAAGAAACAAAACATATCTTAGTTAATAATGATCGTATCTGGTTATAACTTCGAGATCATATCATGCCAAAGTTTACAGTGCGCGTGGAGTGCATGGGTACACATTTTTTGCTCTGCAACCGAAAGTTTTAAACATCCTGAAATAAAAACGGTCGGTTAGGGCTATCGTATGATAAAATTAAAATTTTTTAGATTACTCTTATGTATCAGTTGTGGGATATAAAGAAACTTAAAAAGCTGCATGGTGTGTTTTCAAACATATTTCATTCTAATGTACACCGTGAACATATCATACCTGCCAATATATATTAAGTTTTATAATGAGTAGTCTCACCTTGTTTCCCGATTATCACTACCTCGTACACAGAAAAGATATTATTGTTAATTCTCTCTATCATCACCGTATCTCCGTATTTACAGCTGGATTCATGTGATGAGATATCAGGTGCTGCTCCCTCTGTGTACACTGTGAGGGTGAAGCTACTTATACAGCGGCCACCCTCACAGGTACTACAGTCTGTGCCAGAGCAGGTCCAGGTGAGGAAAGGATCACCTTTTATATTACCAAGCCACATCACTTGTTCCACACAGTGAACCTGGTCTAGTGTTATCTTTAACCAGCTTTTACCGTCAGAACCAGGAGCTGTGTAGGAGTAAGTCTCCAGGTCAAAGTCTATAGCGTGGTGAGCACCATACTCCTCCTCGTTATCATTAAGAGTGCAGGACTGTTCAGTACTGACTGGGACTATCTCACCAAGCAGTCTTTCTCTCTTAGCTGCAACAACACGTATTACTAATACAGTACCTTTAAATATAACTGACGATATTTTTAACTGGCTACCGTACGAACACTAAAGTTGATGTCTCAAAACAGTTTTAATAATTTTAATTATTATTTTACAAATAAATTGAGCTAGCTTGATGGTATTCAGATAGCATTAATAGATCAATGTAATGTACTGCGAGCTGGTCACAAGTCCAAACGCGTTCATTTCATTTTCATTATAATAACCCTTTGTAGTTATTGACTACTGATGCGTAGGTTTATTATACAAGATTTATTGAAGAAACACGTCAATATTCATACTAATCTGCGTTACTCATATACATTATTAAAAGTGAGAAAGTGATCATTTAAGAGCAATAACTTATATGAAACCTACCACTTTGAGCAGGAGAGAAGAGTAGGTAAAGCGTAAGTAGAAGAAATATCGACATTTCTCTGTAGAAATAATTATTTTCAGTTTGAGTTAGCTTAAAGTTTAAATTTCACAAAGCAATTTTAAAATGATACGTTTAAAAACAAAGCTCACATTCTACTCATAAAGTCATAACAACAATACATAGACATTAATTTCAATAGAGTTTTTTTGTTAATTCAGTTAGTTTCATTCAATTCAGTTGTTTTCAGTTTATTTAACAATTATACCTCGTTTTGAGGTTGCAGGCACGCTTATTTGTGCCTCAGTTAATTGGTTTTTCGAAAAACGAATTGAGGAAATTCGGCCATTGGTGTTTTAGTTTCTACAGTAAATAGACATTAGACTACAACATGACATGGCATTGCTGACAGAGAAGGAGCTCTTAAAGCGTTCTCATTTTATGAAGACAATAGTGAAAAAGAGGGAGTGTCATGCCACGCCCACTG